TGTTTTCTAATATTCGGTACGAAAAAGTGTAACTCCTCGTTCTCAATCTCCTTACGAAAGAATGTTGTTTTTCCGGAATTGCACGAAATCCTTCGGTTAACAACCCTAGCTTATAAAATAAGAATGACAGTTGTAACAGTAAAACAACTATAAGAAAAATTGTTAGTATTACATAGGAGAACACTCATGTAACCATTAATTTAAAAATAGTGACCATATAAAAAATTAGTTAGTAACGTTTTGAGGAATAAGTAGCAAAAAACTAACAAAATACATATTAAAACTGCCATAAATCATTAGCCTTAGTCTTTCCTGTTAGCGCTTACACTAAATGACTGATGTGTCCTTCATATATGTGTCGGCGACATAAAAGCCACATAATGTGCTTCACGAAAACATACCTACTTATAAGTTAGATTCCTCCTTTATTAGCACCAGTGTTTGAAGCAGTTGTGTTATTACAAACAGCAATAATGTTATATTAAAAAAATGTTATTTTTAATTTCAAAATCTTCTAGTACCTTTTTTATTTGTTTTGCTTGGTTTTTGACTTTAGATGGATTTGCTTGGAACATTCCTAGCAGAACATCGCTATTATTACCATCCTGAGGAGCCGCCACACATTTCAATATTTTCCATTTTAACAGTAACACTATTTTTAAGATTCTTTTATAATTATATTATTACAATTTAACAGTAATTTAATTTTTTTTAAAGTTTCTTACCAATTTAAGCATTTTTATAACTATTTCTAATTTCCACTCTTTTGTTTTTGATGGTAAGAATTTTTTTTTTGTGGGTTTCTGATTTTGAAAAAATAATATTTTCCAAACTACGCACTGCATGCTTTAGAATTGAAGAAAGAATTGCTGTATGACCCTTTACACTATTATGAAAACATGTAGCAACTTCACTTGTCGCTTTTATTAATCCGTCCGATGATATTTATAGGTGCAGCTCATCAAATCCTTTTTTTTTTCTTTTCTTGTTAACGACACAGAGAAATTTTTCTCTTCTTCACTCCTTGACTCAAAAATTATTGATTATCAGAATCAGAGACTATATGATTTTCAAACAATTTTTTATTTCAAAATAAGTTTTTTGTCTAACTCATTTTTAAGTTCAATTCTCTTTCGGTAAATCATGCCAATATCCTCAGTTATATACATTTTTTTAGTTGACTTTTGATTGTTTAAGATTTGAATGTCCTCTTTAATGGTATTAGGTGATCTGTTGCGATCATCTTTGATTTTCATTACAACATTTTTGAAGCCTATGCCAAAAAGTTCTTTTAAAGTTTTTTTATAATTGGTTTCGAGAATCAATCTAATCTGAAAAAAAAAGTTACACATTTACAACTTTAAAAGAGGTTAACAGTTAAAATTAAAAAAAATAATTTATTAAAAATATATTAAGAAAATCTATTTGCTTTCTCCATTTTTAGTTAAGCTTTATAATTTTATCTCTAATGGTCCAACCTTTCATCTAAAAGTCTTTTTAAAAACCCGCTCTGCAACAGATATTACTTCTTTGACAAACTTCTTTGATACTACTTCTTTGACAAGACAATCTAACGTAATTTAATACCTGTCTCACAATTACACCAGGGATTTGATATTTTAGCTGATACCCTCATTTCTGCATGGAGAAATGAGGGTATCAAAATAAAAAAGTACCTGTTTTTCAGTTTTTACACCTAACACTTCTAAGGGTCCTTAAACCTCTAAATAAAATTGCTTATTTTTCATATAACCAGGATATATTTAGAACCGTCCAATTTTTTTGGGACACCCTAATATATATATAAATATATATATATATATATATATATATATATATATATATATATATATATATATATATATATATATGCACACATACATACGTACACACACACACACACATATATATATATATATATATATATATATATATATATATATATATATATATATATATATATATATATATATATATATATATATATATATATATATATATATATATATATATATATATATATATATTACAAATAACAATAGCTAAACAATAAAGAACTGATGTTAACTACTTTTAACTTGAGAATATTTTTACGAGATTTTGCGTCAAAATAACGATAGTCTCGCCTAGCCTAAGAAATATTTAAATATTCCATAACACCTAAAAACTCTAAAAAGTTTTTATATAAATAAAACTTTTTCATTATATGATCCATAAACTCAAGCGAAATCTCTACATGGAAAAAAAGTTAATAACACAAAAAAATATCAAAACAAAATTCTAAGTGAGACAAAATTTCCGATAAAAATGAGAAATTTAAATAATTAAAATAACATTGAAAACAAAGTGTAGGAAATATAAACCACAAGTAATCTATAGTTCGATCTATATATAATCTACTGTTTTACTTACAACATCTAAAAAATTCGTTTCACTTAGCAGTATTCATTCTTGCAAGCTAAATATTTTTTTTTACAAAAAGATGACTTATGACGTCTAAGTTTTATTAATAATAAGTTCTTAATAAAAAGCGCCCACGCTCAAATTTGACATTTTGCGCTCAAATTTGACATTTTGAAACAGATGAGCAATTTCTGATTAACTAAAATGCATTAATTTAAAAAAAAGTTATAGTTTTGTAGGTAATTGTACTTTTTAAAAAAAGTAGTTAAAAAAGCGAAATTATCGGAAAAACGTCGCACAGTGACTCAGGACAATCAAAAAACGGCAAAAATTAAATAAAGTTTGACATAAATCGTAATTAAAATTTTTAAATTAAAATTGTTATATACTAAAATAATAATTTTTGAGTTAAAGATTTAATAAATTTTTTTTTTACGCGCAGCTTCGCCGCGTAAAATGCGCATGTACAGAAGAAGGCATAACGTGCCAGTTGTATAAACTCACTATACGTTTAGCTGTTTCAGTGCTGTATAAATCTAATTCATTGATATTAATAGGATATTCACAAGATATGGTTATCAGAATATTATGCAATCTTTTAGTTATATCATAATCAACTTTAGTAATTTCAGAAAAAACTTCACTATTTTTAATTGCTCTTCTGGCAGTGTTGCCGTCATTCGTATTTCCAGACCAAATTTTAGGCATATCAACGTATAGGCTTAACTGTTCTCTGAAGAGAAACTGAATCTCTCTTTTTTTTAAGTCTATAGATAATTTTTCCTCGGTGGAACATTTTTTTAGCTGATATGTAAACAAAAAAAATACAATTATTTTTTCTTTTTTTAGAGAAGTCTTTAAATTTAAACGAAAAAATCAGACTTTTTTTTTTTCTTTTTAGTATATTTGAAATATATAGAGTTAAAAAATTATTTTAAAAGTTAAATATACACTTTTATTTAAATTTCAAATTCTTTAATGAGTTTTACCTCATATTTTTCAGATTTCTTTAAAAATAATATCAAATTTTTTCACTTCTTTTACCAATAAAATACAAAATGAAAGCTTTATGAAAAAATTATTTTTACTTTTGAAATAAAAATCATTGTCATTTGATAATATCTAACAAAGGGCACTTAATTTATAAAGCAAACTTTTGAACTTATCAAAAATCGCCATTTTGTTAACCCATTTTAAAATGATAATTAAATATTCATTATTTGCTCAAAACATAATTGTTAACTTGGAAACCTTTTAATTGGTATATAATATGTTGGCTTTAGTGAAATATGTGCTGAAATTGAAGTAAAATTCCTTATTTTTTTGCCTGTCCTGAATAGTAAAAATAAATTAAAAAAAAATTCAATTTTTAATGGTATAATTAGCAGTGATAAGTATAAAATTTTGTTATGATAACATTTTGAAGATAGCATTATCAAAATCTGTTATTGATCTAAAATTGTGGATTGTACTCAGTATGCATATTTTTTTTAAACTTTAATTTTTCAAAAACATTTGCATATTTTTAAATGGAATTACATTGCTAGTGCTATAACCATGAGCCCTACAGTTTTAGAAGTCTCGATTAATAAAAAAATATTTTTAAAAGAAACTCTGAAAATAAAATCTTTGATTATTCACACGAATAGGAACATTCGGTTTTAAAATAGCCCCGGCCCCCGAAAAATCTTCATCACCGTACATTGCAATTAAACATTTATTTAATATGTAATTCAGGAATGAAAATGTGCAAAGAAAAGCAGTTTGCTAATTGATGGTATACTTTTCTGTCATATGCGAATAGGAAGGAGCCTTGGCGTACTTTAAACAAATACCTTACAGGCAGATACTCTTTCAAACTTAATACTGTGGAGGTTGAGCATAAGCGTATATGCTGAAGTTTATACTTAATAAATAAAAATTTCTCAAATTTATTCCCGAAACCCTAATTGACTGTAACAGTTGCGAGAGTAGTAACATTCAGGTTATAAGAACCATTTTAAAATTAATTTTGTACATTAAAATTGTTTTGTTTACTTTAATCTGTGTACTTTGTAGATTTCAAGAATGAGTTATAGGTATAATTCAATTTAAATTTATGCATACTTTTTTTGGAAAAGATAGAGACTCTAATTTAGTAAAGATTTCGATATATTTTTTTTTTAATTTTTTAGGTGCCCCTAGAAGTTCTTGCGGTCTTATCACAGAGCACCGCGGAAGAGCAATTAATAGGAAGTTCACGCCTCCTTCCCAACCGATGTCACAAAACTTGCCCAAAGGTGGGGTTTGAACCACGGATCTTACGTCTCTGAGGCAAGTGCGCTATACATACATAAAAAGTGTGATATACATACATAAAAAAACATATATATATATATATATATATATATATATATATATATATATATATATATATATATATATATATATATATATATATATATATATATATATATATATATATATATATATATATATATATACACACACAAGGGTTTTTATGGTAACCACATAAAAAACACCTTTTTTTATTTACTCTTCAGAATGAAATTCATCATCATTCATAATAAATTCAAAATAAATATATCAACATCCAGTAAATTTTGCAACCAAAACATAATTTATTTTTTTAAAATAAATCAATTAAATAAAAAAAATATATATCTATACAAATATATTGAAAATACTCAGATTGAATAAATAACTAATGTCATCAAATTTTTTTTTTTTTATGAAACTTCATTTACTTGGCGAGACGTGCACGTAACATAACAAAAAAAAGTGCCAAAATTCGAAACCCAAATATCAAGGCAAACAGGAGGCCAATGTTGCGATTAAAGTTCTCCTGAAGCAAAAACATTTATACAAATACAAATTAAAAAAAAAAAAAGAATTAATATAAGCTTAAATATATGAACTTGCCGTTTGTAGCAAGTTGTTTACCATAGTCAGATGTTCTTTAAAAAATTAAACAAAAATTGAAATACTCGATCTGGAAATAAAAGTCGAATTACTTTTGAAAATTCCATTTAATTTCTGAAAAGGATAAGAAATAAAGTTTTAATCTAAAATCTCAAGTCACTGGTCTTTTTTAGGGATTTTCAGTTGAAGTTATTTTACTTCAGGTTTTTTTTCTATCCAGTAGATTGAAATGAGCCGTATCTTTCGAAGACCAAAATATATATTGATGAAATTTGAAGTTTATAAAAAATGTCTATCTTTGGAAAGGAATAGTTCATTGATTTAACTAATGAAAGACTTTGTGGATTTAGCGGATTCAAACCTGGATTCAGTTTGAACATAAAATATTATCCAACTGGAAGTTGTGGAAGTTGCAAGATAAACCTATATTTTAAACAGAAAGGTATGAGTATCAGTAAGGCTGTAGAGACTTTATAGTTGAATGGTCGTCATTAAGTAAAGAAGTTGGAAAAATGAAGCATGAAGATGACAACTCGATGGTTAAGAGCACAAAGGGTATATGTCCAACATTAAACATTAGGTAAACATTAAACAAATTAGGTATTAAAGTATGTAAAAGAAATGAAAATAAAATAGTAAAAAACAAGATAGAGTTAAGTGAGAAATGCATTTGGTTAAAAATCATGACAATAAATAAATACCATGAGTTATTGTATGTTTTCAAACTTTCAAATTCAGATTTCTCAAAACAATGGTTAGTGGACGTATTCCCTTTGTGCTCTTAACCATCGAACTGTTATTTCATTTTATATTGTACAAGCGGTAGTTGTAAACTGAACCTTTTTATCTACATAGAGACTGAAAAAAACTCCATAAAAAAAAAAAAATCATTTTTCTCAAAATATTGTCTAATATTTGATCCTGGTATTTGTCACCCACGCAGCAACAATAACAACAACAAAAAACTGCTCAAAACTTGCATACCTTTATTACTTCAAAGAAATCAAATGTTACTGACAGTTTCTTCTTGTACGCTATATGAAGAATTTGTTGTTTGTGACAGTACAAATATAAAACTTGCAACAGGAAGAGACGTTCTTCCTGTTAAAGTGTACAGAGTCTGACCACTTTTAAGGCATATACGAAATGAACTTAAAGATAAATAATGATTTTCCAAATTAGACAGTGTTAGTTATAATGAAGAAGATAATAAAGATGTTTGAAGATCTGAAATACAAAAGAACACATATGCTGATGTTACAAACAGGCCACACTTATTAAATAAGTTTTACAATGTCAAAAAATATTAATTTAAAAGGAAAAGACAATTTTTTTGGAAAACATATTGTTAACTGTACTGACCTATATATGTTAGAAAAAAAAAAAAAAAGGTCCTCAATACTAGCAATTTGCCAACTATAAGTATAGCAAACTATATTTATATTTAACTTTAATATAAATATAGTTGGCAAAATGTCAACTATTTTAATAAATATAGTTGGTAAAATGCCAACTTAAAAAGCATTTCAGTTGGCACATTGAGCAAAACTTGTTCAAATGCGCTAACTCAAATGTTTATATGACAGCTTTGGGGGGAGGGAGAGGGGAAGGGGGACACCCTCGACACCCCCTGCCCTTCGGGACGGCCTGTACACAATAGCTATTACTGTTGGTTGCAATCGAATCACTAGTTTTAAATCAATTGAAATTTAAAGTTATTTAAACAGAATATATCCTAAAGTTATAATGGCTTTAAACATAGAATATTACATGGAATCAAACTGCTTGGAACCAAGTTTTACGAAAGAAAAAGAGCAGACAGCGATATTTAAGTGTACTGACCACATAAAAAATTTAAACTTGAGGTGACTCAACGAAAGGTCATACGCACTTACTTTCCATTCACAAAACTAACTTTTTACCAGCTACTATTTCTGCAAATATACTAGACAAAAAAACCAAATTAATTAACTTCACCTATTTGCCTTTAAGTTGGCGGATTTTTATTTTAATTTGGCATTTTTTGATTTTAATTTAGCACTTTTAATTTAATTGAGCATTTTATTATTTTAATTTGTCAATTTTCATGAAAATTTGGCACAAAAATTATATAAGTAAAATAAATTTTTGTGTCAAATTAAAATGAAAATAGGCCAAATTAAAACGAAAATTAATTAACTTTAACGCTAAAAAATGTAGATAATAAAATAAGTTGAATTAACTAAAAAGATAAATAGCTCGTCGATTCTTCATTTAAAAATGCATGGTACCTTAATGTAAAAATAAAATAAGCCATATACCTCAACTACTTTAACTAAATTAATAAATCAATAAAGTTGTATTATTAAATCATAGTACAATACAGTAGTTTTACTAAATGTAAATTAACAAATAAAATGTAAAAGATTATTTTTGTATGAGATTATTTTTGTAGCTCATCAAATTTTAATTGATTAAATAGTTTTAATTATTGCAAATAATACAATAAAAAGATTACCTAAAAATTAAAATTTATAAGCATATTTTATACATAAATTTTTTTTCTTTTATTTTTATCTATGCCTGCACATAATTAATGACACCTAGAATTTGACAGCTAAATTCAAGATTTGGAGTTTCCAAGCTTTCCAAGAAATCCAAGATCTAGTCTGAGATTGCAAATTTCCCTTTACAAAAACAAACGTTTTGTATCAGATACAAAATCAATTTCATTGTTAATTGTATTACTTTCTTCACTACAATGTTTTTATTCGTTGTTACTTGTATTATTTTCTTTACTACATTATGTTTTTCTTCATTGAAGTCAAGGCAAAATTTTTATTCTAATAACTTTTTCCTTTTTAACCAAAAAATATTATTATCTTTTTCTATTGCTTTGTCTTTTAATTTTTGGATGTTTGGACCTTATTAAGATGTTCCGTATTTCCATGTATTTGTGTTCTTTTGAACTCAGTTTTACAAACTGTTAAAGGCGCATGATAGAAATTGTTGTATACTTAAATCAAACAATTGCTCGCCTTGTTCTGAAAATATTGATTAAAATTATGCTTTTTATATATTTTTTCACTATTTCAAACTTTAGTTAATTTTTCGTTTAAATTTCATTATATATATATATATATATATATATATATATATATATATATATATATATATATATATATATATATATATATATATATATATATATATATATATATATATATATATTTATATATACAGGGCCTAATCTAGGAAAAAAATTTGGACGGCAGTTTCTCTCGTCCTAGCGAACTTTTGCGGAAAATTTTTTTGCGGAAAAAACAATATTTGCGGCAAAAAGGTAAAAAAAAAAAAAAGGTCCTCAAAATTTTATCCAAATCGGCTATCGAAAACGGTCTAGAATAGACACTGATATATATATATATATATATATATATATATATATATATATATATATATCAAATTAGGTTGATGTATATTTTCGTCTATATATTTCATATATACAAGTCGTCTGTAATCGTTATCTTGCTTTATAAACTTCATTTTTTTTTTCTTCAAGTAACTTCTAACTCTAATAGTAGTTGCTTGCTACCTTGTTAGAAGTGAAGATGTTTAAATATATATACTGTAAAAATATTAAGACCATTGTCGAAAAAGTGAATTTTTCTAATATTTCTTATAAATTTTTCTAATATTTCTTATAGAGTCGGGTTCATATCAGTTGGATAACCAGTCCATGGAAGAATAGGAACATTATTACGGTTCAAAAAGTTTGTAACAGAACGTGCTATATAACACGGTGCGCCGTCTTGTTTGAAGATGAAACCACCATTAGGAAAATGAATTAGAAATTGAGGTAGAAGTTTTTTCTCCAATATGTTGATATATTGATGTTGATCTATTTTGCCTTTAACAATTCTAAGGGGTCCTACACCATAAGAACTTATCATCGACCATACCATTACTAAGGTAGGATGCTTGACGGTCATCACCAGACATTGCGGATGAAATTTTTCTCCAGAAAGACGACGCACGTACTGACATTTATCGTCGAGTATCTCGAACATAGACTTGTCACTGAAGCAAACTTAAAAATACAAACACACTGTAAAAGCCTTGACATTAGATTAACATCCATATATTAGATCACTGGTTACATGTTCACTTCATTTTGCATTCATGCAATATGTGCAATGCTTGATGCCTATGGACAAAACAATTGCACTAGCAGGTAATGAATGATATTAAACATCATTATTATCTGAAAAAATATGTTATTGCTTCAACTCAGAGTACATGATTGTAAGCTCTTATATAAAAAATGGTAAAGGGTACAATACTTTTCTCAATTGTTCTGTGGTCCAATCTTTGTGATCCGTGGCCCACTGCAACCGCCGGGTTTGTTGAGCATTGGTAATGAGCGGTCTTTTGCGCGGTCGACGTGCTACAAATCCATCTTGCATCAGACATCCTAACACAACTAGTTGAGACATTCATCTGGTGCTCCTGCAACACACCCTGGAGCTGCTTGCTGGTCATTCTTCTGTTTTTTTGACAGTTTGTAAGCAGAACCCGTTTTGCACATAGAGTCATGACTGGTTTTTAGCCTGAAAAGGAACGTCTTGGAGAGAACGTAAAACCAAAGTCCAATCGATTCTTAATGGTAAAAAATGCTGTTTTACTTAGTCCACATTTCTTGGCAATTTCCCGTTGTAAAAATGTTTCCAATTTTATTAATGCTTCAACTTTGCCTCGCTTTCTGGGACTAGGGTCAGCAACTTTACCCAAACTTTGAAAATATGATATAATCTGACAACAAAAAATTCTTAAATAATCAAAATCACATATTTAAAATAAGAAAAATATTAAACTGTTAAACTTATTAAACTATCAAGAGTAATAATCTAAAAAATATTCACTTAAAGGTCGTTTAAACCATACATATTCACTTAAAAAATGACATCCTACGAACTATCCCATTAATTCTTACCGGTTATGTTTATGAGCACACTCCAACAAAATCTTATTTTGGAGGAGCCTTACTTTATATATCTAATAAATTAACTTACAAACCTCGAAATGATCTTAATATGCTTAAACCAAAGTTTTTAGAATCTGTGTTTGTGGAAATCATATTTCCTAAAAAATCAAACATCATTATTGGCTGTATTTATCGCCATCCTAGTATGGATATTTCAAAATTTATTAAATCATATTTAATTCGACTTTTTGAAATATTTAATTCGACTTTTTTAATGGGCGATTTTAATGTAGATCTTTTAGCAAACTCAAATAGTTAAGTCTCATAATTTTTAACACCATTGCTTTAAATAACTTTCTTCCCTTTATTTCATTGCCAACAAGAATCACTCCAAAATTCTAATTGATAACATTTTTTCTAATGCAACATTTACAAATATTTTTGCCGATAATTTTACTTCTACAGTATCAGATCATTTACCTCAATTTTTAATACATCCATTTTATAGAACCAAAATTAATTCTCGTAAAAGCTGAATTTTTCATTGGAATTTAAAAAAAATAAAATGCGAAGAATTATGTAGTGATTTCTTAAAAATTAGCTGGACTAATGTAATTAATGTCAACGAAGGTAAGACTTATAAGTCATTTGAAAAATTTTTTAGTTTCAATTTTCTTTTAGATAAACATGCACCATTAAAAAAAATTAGCAATTGCTGCTTATCAAGGAGTCTCAAATCTTGGATAACACAAGGAATCTTGACCTCAATTAAAATAAGAAATAAAATATTTAACAAATTTCTTAAAGCAAAGAATACTAATAACAAACTCAATCTAGGAAAATCTTATTAAACATATAGAAACTTGTTACTCTCACCTGTCGTAGTAAAAAGAACCATTACTCTAAGTTCTTCTCTGATAATGCCAAAAATTAGAAACCTACATGCGATGGTATTAGGAATCTTTTAAACATTAGTTCGAGAGTTAACTCATATCCTTCCTGCTTATCTTCTAACAACTCCATGATATACAACCCCATTAAAATTTTGGAATCTTTTAATTCATTCTTTGTTTCAGTTCTGGAAGAACTACAGAAAAAGATTCACTCATCCAATATTGAATTTAATAAATATCTTAAAAATCTTAATCTTAAATCAATATTCATAAAACCTACAGGTATTATCTATTATTCTTTTTCTTAATGACAGCAAGGCTTTGGTACCTAACAGCCTTCCAGTACCTATTTTTAAAACTCTTGCAAATAATATTTCTCATGTACTTTCTAAACTATTTAATCTGTCATTCATCACCAGTGTATTCCCTGATATTTTAAAAACTGCTTCTACTATTCCAATTCATAAAAAAGACTCAAAACTTGAATGTAATAACTACAGACTAATTTCATTATTATCAAATGTCAGCAAACTTTTAGAAAAACTTATGTATTCTTGTATTTACAACTTTTTGAACAATTCTGCTTATTTTCCGAATAGACAGTTTGGGTTTCGCTCAAATCACTCCACTTCTCATGTTCTTATTAGAATTATTAAAATGATTCGTGGCCCAATAAACAATGGTTCCTTTGCCTGTGTTGTAGTCATAGATCTTCAAAAAGATTTTCATACAGTTGATCACAACATTTTAATAAACTACTAATAAAGTTAAACTACTACGGAATACGTGGTGTTGCTAATCATTGGTTTTCTTCTATATATATCACACTCAGTTTTTTTTAATTAATGGATTTGAATCTACACATAAAGTTATTAAATATGGCGTTCCCCAAGGTTTTACAATTGTCATTTTGTGTTTGACTTTCTCCAAAATAAACTACCAATAACTTTCTCCAAAATAAACTACTTTAAACTTTTTTTATTAAAACAAATGAAATTCATAATCATCACACCAGGAATAATAAGCTATACTCTTCTTTTTATAACACAATTAAATATGGTAAGTTTTCCATAAAACAACAATGTATTTCTGATCGGAACCAGTGTATTCCTGCATTGAAAAAAATTCTGAAAAAAAAATTCTTTGTTACGGATTATTTACAGCTCAACAGAATTCAATGAATTATTATCTATGATATGTACATGCAATTTATATTGTATAATAATTATTCTTAACATTATTGTTACTTTATTATTATTGTTATTATTTTGTATTAATACTATAACTATTATATATATCATTATTATTTGTTTAACAATCTTATCAATTTTTTTTTCTCTCTTTTATATATATTCACATATTATATATATATACATACATGCATATATATATATATATATATATATATATATATATATATACATATATATATATATATATATATATATATATATATATATATATATATATATATATATATATATATATATATATATATATATATATATATATATATATATATATACATACATACATATATATATATACATATATATATATATATATATATATATATATATATATATATATATATATATAAATATATATATATATATATATATATATATATAAATATATGTATATATATTTTTTTTTTGGTTTTCGTTTCTTTTCTTTTTTTATTATTTCTTTATTTTTTCATTTTTTCAGGAATTTTATGTTTTTTAGATGTCACTCAATTGACTAGTTTGTAACTATATGAGTGACACCTAACCAAATTCTATTAGTTTATGATGAGATTTGTAAATTTTTATTGATATGGTTGAATAAAAAATTGAAGCTACTATTTGATAAATTTTTCAGCTTGGGTTAAAGAACCAAACAAGTACATATGTAAAATATTATTAATAATCTAACTATTGCAAAAAAAAAAAAAAAAAAAAATGTAAAATCCATTTCCATTAGACTGAAACCTGATTGTAATTTTTTATTAGGCTTAAACTTTATCTGAAATTCATCTTTAGATTTTAAATTACATTATAAAATTTGTATTTATGACTATCTTATAACAAAAAATGAAAACAGATTTAAAAATAACATTTGACTTTAAATAGAAAATATACTTTTGAATATCCATTAGATTCAAGAACTTTTTTTCCATCAAAACAAATATTCGTACCATTGCAATGACCTAAAATATTTTTAAGAGTTAATAATAAACTTTAGCATTATAAATTCATTTGAATAATGCCTAGTAGTTGAGCAAATTACAGCACTTCTCATTGTTTAAAATAAAACAAAATACTAAATCCAAATAGGATACACAGAGATAGTGACAAGCTATATGGTAAACTTATTGAAGAGAATCTCAAATTTTACTCTATTTAAACATAAATCCATCCAAGAGGTATCAATGAGAATAAAAATTGAAAATAGTCGAATAAATCAGAAAAAAAAAAAGATGCTCAAAAATAAAAACCATGGGACAAAAATGATAACATTAGGTAAAAAGTCCAGGTCAGGTTAGGTTATCTTGCTATTGGTAACATGAAACCCAGTACAGTACATTGACTCCAAGAAAACACCCCCTGCCTTAGGGCTCTTGGCTGAGTAAAGGCTAGAGATGGTGTCTTCATAAAAATACTCATCTTGGGCAGATGTTAAATGCATCTGGCTACTGTTTTGTAGAAGGCCTCTTAGGCAAAGACTTAAAGGGTAAACAGTTTCTATCTGTGGACCAGCCTCATACCCCTTCTTCATCTATTAGGCTAGCACAGATAGGTTTTTATGACTAGGCAACTCATTCTATTATTTCCTAATGAGGGTACAACTCTAAAACTCAGTTTTATGGTTCTGAGGCCAGCTGGTAGTCAGATTTCCCGAACTCTGTGGTAGCTCTCAGAGAGGCTGATTCCATCAACAGCTGTAAAATATTAGAGTACTAACAGTGCCGCATTGCACATGGATGGTGTTCCTGTTTGTACTTTTGATGTGCATAGTTAAGGCCACATTTGGAGCACTTTGTTATAGCTTAGGGTTTATTATTAGTAATGAGGCAATTGCTTCGACTATTAAATAGTGCACTAAGTACTATCTGTGCTTTGAGTCAAGTTCTATAACTAATTTAAAAATGATTAAAGTACAAAAAACTATAAAACACAAAAAACCATCATTATCACCAAGTACACTAAATCTATCATTCACTAATATTAGTGGTCTTTGAAGTAACTTTTCTTCTGTTGATTTTTATCTCTTGCAAAGCTCACCAGACTATTCTTTTATGTGCTTTCATTTAGCACCACTTCACTCTATTGCCTTTCTCTTTGTTCTATATCGCTCTACTTCATCTCAAGACTGCACTCTCTTTGATGTTATTTCTGATCAAATTGAACAAGCACTTTCTCTTTATCCAGTGTCAGTGACTCTGCATTGTGAAAAAATTGTGGGCATTAAGGCCCACAATTTTTTCCTCTATCAATCTCTAACACAAACAGCCAACTTTCCAACTTCTAATAATTATCATTTACCCTCTCTACTTGACTTGTTTCTGATCCTGATCAGAGCTCAGTTTCTCCACATTCAAACTTAGGTCCATCTGATCATGGTTTGATCTTTCTAAAACTATCATCTTCATCATCTGAATCCCCCTTTGAGAATTAACACTTATTTCCGATCTTTCTTAGAAACCATATATCAAATCCATTGCAAAATTAGCATCTGCTAAGGTTGCATCTCTTTACTGTGTTCAACACTTTCTTACTCCAGATTCTATTCTTTATCTCAATAAATTTCAATTTTGTCCTTGTATGGAATACTGTTGCCATATCTAGGACGGATCTTTCAATGATGCCCTTTCGCTTTTAGACAAGGTGCAAAAATGCAATGTAAACATAGCTGGACCTGCTCTTACAGCCAACCTTCAACCATTATCACATTGTCATAATGTTGCTTCTCTTTCTCTTTTCTACAAATACTATAACAGGCACTGCTCTACAGAGTTAGCATCTCTTGTGCCATCTACAAAATTAATTCTTGTGTTACTCGTCATTCAATTAAGTCTCATAGTTTTCTGTGCCTATTCCTAAGTGCTCCAAAAACTTTCTAGTTTTTTTCCTTGAACATCAGTTCTTTGGAATTTGCTTCCTTTACCTTGCTTTCCTGATTAATATAATTTGCAATCTTTTAAGTCGTCCGCCAATCATTATCTAGCTCTATAAACTTCATTTTTTCTTATTCAGTAACTTCCAACTCTAACAGTGGTTGCTTGCAGCTTAGGCCAAGAAGTTGAAAAAAAAAAAAATTAAAAATAAATGAATAATAATACTACACAAAAACTTTTTATTCTTAGAAAAAATATTGCAGTCTGACCTACAAAATGTTTATGTATATCTTCACCTAAAACTTACCTACTTGACCATAATTTGCCCATTGATTAATCTGTACACATTCAGCACCATACTTGACAAATGAAAGCCATTTCAACCATATAAAATAATCAGGAATAGACCTAAAAAAAATTTTTTTTCAGATTAGTAGTACCAGCAGTGGCTAGTTATATAATATTATACAATTCATTGCTATGTTACTTAAGAACACAAGATTTCATTTTAGTAAAAAAAAAACCCATATGAAAAAGAATTAAAAAGCATTATAAGGTGAAGAAAAAACCCAGATATAAGTCTATTTAGGAATTGACAGTAAAATAAAACACTTTTTTATAGAACAAAAAGTAAAAGAATGCAAATTTGGTGAATAACATATTATGCAAGAGTTTTGGTAGATGAATCAAGAGATGATATATATATATATATATATATATATATATATATATATATATATATATATATATATATATATATATATATATATATATGTATATATATATATATATATATATATATATATATATATATATATATATATATATATATATATATATATATATATATATATATAGGATTTGTTAAGATATTGTAATATAGGATAAATAGGATTTGTTAAAATATTGTAAGATACTATACTCTATAATGGTTAGTGAGAAATCAATCAGTAAAAAATACAGAAAGTATCATCTGGACTTTAACCTTTAAAATGGTATTTTTGATATTCATAATTATTTTTAATCTTAAAGAAATTGGATTAAAAAAAAAAATCATACATATCTTTAAGAAAAAATCCACCAAACAGCACAAAGGGCATAATTAATGGAGGGCCAACACTTGTAGCAACTTGCACAGTAGGAGAAATTGAGGAAATAAAGTATCCTTAAAAAAAATTAGATAACAAAAAATATAAAAAATTTAAAGGAAACGTTCAAAATAGCAAAATATAACAAACCAAATGATAGTCCAGCTTGGTTTAATAATTGAACAATTCCAACAAAAATGAAAAATGCAGCAGCATCAGTTCTTAAACCTAAAAAATTACAAATATTTAGAGGATATTGGAATAATTCTAAAAAATATGAATGGACCTTAGCACATTGTCTTTATATAAATAAAGCAAATAGACATCAGCATATTTTCTTCATATAAACAAAGCAAATAGACCTTAGCACATTGTCTTCCTATAAAAAAAGGAAATAGACTTTAGCACGATGCCTTCAAATAAATAAAGCAAGTAGACCTTAGCAAATTGTCTTCATATAAAAAAAGGAAATAGATCTTAGCACGATGTCTTCAAATAAATAAAGCAAATAGACCCTAGCACATTGTCCTCATATAAATAAAGCAAATAGATCTAAGTACATTGTCTTCATACAAATAGGAGAAATGCACTCTGAATCACTCTTGGTTGATTAAAGGCTAGAGATAAATACTCATCTTGGGCAGATGTTAACTGCACCCAGCTACTGTCATGTAGAAGGCTTTTTAAGCAACAACTTTAGGGGTAAGCAGTATAACTCTGTTGACCAGTCTTACACACCTTCTTCATCTATTTGACTAGCGAAGATGTAAATCTGTAATACATTGTTTCCTGCTAAGGATAATGAATGCTAGACTTTTGCTTGTGTCTCCTTGATAGTGGCTATGCAACTCTTTCTATTACCTCCTAATAAGGGTGCAACTCTACAACTCAATTTAATGGTTCTGAGGGCAACTGGTAGTAAGACTTCCTGAACTCTGCCGTGGCTCTCAGAGAGACTGATTCCATCTACAGCTATAAAATATCAGAGTATTAACAGTGTCATGTTGCGCATGGATGTCCCTGTTAATGCTTTTGGTGTGCATTGTTGGAACCAAATAAGGAGCCTTAAGTTACAACTTTCGGTTAATTAGAAAGACTGAGACAACTGCATAGCTTATTGCTTGCAATAAGCTATGCAGTTGTCTCAATGCCATGCTCTATCTATGAATGAGACAAGCTGTCTTCAACTTAAACCATGACTAAAGTACACAAAAATAAATAAATAAAATAAACAATACTTAAAAGTCCTTAATTGTGGGGTGAAAGGGAAGAGGGGTTTAGGGAGGTTTATTGATTTTTGGAAAATTTTCCCACCCACCCCAACTAATTAAACCCCTCCCCCCCCCCCCCAATTTGTTAGATTTCACTTGTTATTAATAAAAACTTTATATCTCAAAACTAAAAAAAAAATCAGTAAAAATCAGCCTTAAAAATTAAAAAATAATTCTTTAGGCCACTGATAAAATCTTTCAGTGTAAACAAGTTTTAAAAATCTACCTAGTAAATCTTGAAAATTATATTTTGATTTATTTCTCACCAAAGTATAAAACTTATATCAGCATATATATCAGCATGTTAAATCCTATTGAAATTATGATAAAACAGCTGTAAGAAAATGTGCATTTGACCGGAAGCCAGGCTAGAATTAAATAGTTTTTTGTGTGTTTTATAAAAAATATTAGTTTGGATTTATAAACTGAAATTTTTTATAAAAATACTTATATTGTAACATAACAAATTCACCAGACTGACTTGCTCTTTATGAGACTAACTTAAATTCAGATGTTCCTTCTTCAGATCTCAGTGTTGATCGGTATTATCCTTTAATTTGCAAAGACTCTAGTTTTCACACGCTTGACTTGCGCATATACTTAGGCATCAATTCACCTTTTTGTCATAAAAGCACATTTGAATCCTCTGACCATTCTTTAATGTGCTTCCGCTTAATATCTCTATCAACTTTCTCTTTGTTCTTTATTGTTCTCCTTTTTCTCATGACTGAACTCATTTAGATGTAATTTCTGATCAAATCAACAATGCCCTTTCTCTTCACCCTTCTGCCTATATTGTTGTTATTAGTGACTTTAGGCTCTAATACCGCTGACCATCCACCAAAGTCTATAACTTTTGTATTTCCTAATTTCTTACTTAGATAGTCAACTTTGTGACTCATTTCCAGACAACCCTAGTCAATTATATTCACTCCTTGATTTGTTTCTTGGCTCTGAGCCTAATTTGTGTTCATTTTCTAATTGTTCTCTTCTTTAGGTGGTTCCGACCATGCAATGATTTCTATAAATCTTTTATCTTGCACTTCTTTGGGCTCATCCTATTATTGCCCCACTTACTACTACCCTAAAGCTGACTGGAATTCTTTTTGTAACTTTTTTTTGTGACTTTAATTGGGCTGATTTCTCTGATGATTTTCTCTCCACTGATAAATGTGCCTCCTAATCACTTGGATCCAGGCACGATCCATGGACACTTTTATTCCTTCTCATTGGTTCCAAGTCAAGCCTCATTCTACTCCATGGTTTTAGCTTTCTTGTGCAGCTGCTAAATCTAATTGTAATCATTTTTTTCATCTTTTTCAAAAGAACAACTTTCTTGAGTTATTTCGAACAAACACCTGTTAACTATTGCAAAAAATCAATTTTAAAAGGTGCTGTCTGATGCTAAGCATTTGATAAAGCTTGACATGCTGGTCATCTCAATAAACTTGTTTCATATGGTGTATTTGGGAAAGTTTTTGAGATTATTAAATCATTTTTTTCTAACTGCTTTATTAAAGTCATCCTCAAAGACCAATACTCTTATTTATTTCCAGTAACTTCTGGAGTACCTTAAGGTACTACTCTAAGCCTTATTTATTTCTTATCTATTTGCAATAGCTTGTGAATTTTAACTCCAATAAAACTCAGTTATTTACTGAAACTGGAATCGCAAATTGTTGACTATATTAATGAATGGCAACCCTCTCGCTAAGTTTTTTTCTTTATATCTTCTTGAATTATTGCTCACTACTGACCAATCATGACAGCCATGCAAACCATATATACAATAGATTGCAAAGTTAACATCTGCTTAGTTTGCTCTTCTTAATCATGCTCGCCATTATCCTGATTCTAATTTTCTATAAATCTCTTATTTGTCCCTGTATGAAATACTATCATCATATTTAGGATAGTTCTTCTAATAATGCTCTTTCTCTTTTAGACAAGGTCCAAAAATGCATTGTAAATGTAGTTGGATCTGCTTTATCTGCCAAGCTTGAGCCACTCTCCCACCATCATAAAGTTGCATGTTTCATTTTGTTACGAATAATATCATGGTTGCTGCTCAAAGAGACTATCATCTTTAGTTCCATCAACAAAAAATCGTTTTTGCTTAACTTGTCTTTTATCAAAGTCACATCCTTTTACTGTACCTGCATGCTCTTAAAACTTTTATATATGTAGTTTTTTTCACAGCACTTTAATGCTTTGGAAATCTTCCCATCTTGATGTTTTCCTGACACATACAAACTACAACTTTTCAAGTCTTTTGTCGACTGTTTCCTTTTTGTTTAACTCTTTTCTTTGTTTTCTAGTAACTCACAACTTGGTTGAAACTCTTAGAACAGAACTCTTAAAAAGACCTTAGAACTTAGGTAGAAATTAGTAGAACTTAGGTAGAAATGTTTTACCTTAGGTAGTCTTCATGTAACAAAAAAAAGTAGAAGTAGTAGACTTTTGCACATTTTGCAAATTTAAAAAATTTTAGATTTAAAAAAGATTTAAAAAAAGAAACCTAAAAAGTTATAAATATTTTAGATAAAACAAAAATAATACAAAAATACAAATAGACATATCAAATAAAAAAGCTAGATCTTAGCCTATTATCTTAATGTAAATAAAGTTAATGAATAAATCTTAATATAAATAACCCTTAATGTAAATAAATTTTAATATAAATAAACCTTACCACATTGTCGGAATATTTTTTTTAATTTTATTTCATAGATCATTTTGTTTTTTTAAAAAAGCAAAACTTACCAACCATAAAGTAGAAAATAGTACTATAAATAACTGGTCCAATAACGTACCATGGAAACTAAAAATATATATGCAACCATTGTATCATTAAAAAGATTTTAAAATAAGTTATTAAAAGAACATACATAATATAAGCCTTCCAAGGAAGCGCATGTGGTTGCATGCCTTTTTCTTCCACACTTATAGTAATTTTTTTAGACAACTTAACCACACGTTTATTTAGTAAGCACTTCAATAATTCATGGCAAAATAAAGCTATAAGAAACTAGAGAAAAAAAAAGCAACATTCAAAGAAAAGAGCCGAAGACTATACGAAATAGAAAACCTAAATAAAATAAGCTTAAAAAAATTGATTATTAATTTAAAAAAATTGTTGTCAAAAAAAATAATGTACCTAAATATTTTACTCCTTTTATTTTCTTATTTTTAGGGCGTTAGTTATTTTTTACTACCAAAATTGATACAAGTCAAGGAAAAAAGTAAATAAGAATAACGAAAATAAAATTTTCTTTTAATAAAAAATTTTTTTGCGACTTTTTTCAGTCAGTATATTAAGGAAAATACTTTATAATTTACGCTAGAAACACAGATAATTTTTAAATTTGTTTTTCAAATGTCTTTTTTGCTAAACTTTACTGTTTTTATCAATGCACAGGAAAGCAAGAAAACTAATGGCTATCTATTTATAAAAAAAAAAAAACTTTTTTTTACAAGTTTTTCATGTAAAAATATGAAGCGATTCTCCAATATCTTGTAGTAATTTACTGAACTTTTTTAACGAAATTTTCAGGAGCCTATTTAAAACTTTTTTGTTTTGTTTTTAAATACATTTTTTTAAACAGAGCAATCGTTATGTTCATTATCTCTAGTGATTTGTTTTAACATTGGAAATTGGGCTATATAAAAGTAACAATTTCAGACACGCATTAAATGCGGTAAATACATTTGTTAAAGAAACTATGTTATTCTTTTATTTAACTGTCATTGCAAAATTTATTGACCAAATAATATTTTTACAAATAAATAATTTATTTTCTTATTTTCCTATTATACATGTATTGAGAAAAAATGTCAAATATAGCAAAAATATTTTTAAAAGCAAAAAGACGTAATAATGAATAAATGAAGGCATAATAAACAAATAAACGTAAGAAAAAAAATTAACAAAACTTTTAATTGTTCTAATGTACATAGCAAATTAGTTTCTTAATTATATGGACCAATAAAAATCGTGAATAAATTGCATATCAAAATTTTCAGTCATGGTTAAATCATTAAAAAAGATGTTTTTTTCAACAACGACTCCAAAAAAATAATAATAAAAGTTGCATAAAAATTTTGTAAAAAAAAAATTTTTTTTTACTTACTTTTTTAAATTATATTTTCTAGTTTACTTTAATTTTCCTTAATAATTCATTGCAAGTTTGTTTCCTTTTTTTAGAATTGTTCTTTTTTTTTTTTAGGTTTAGATAAGTTTAGCTTTTTGCTGCGAATTATTAAAACGCTTTATAAGTTAAAAGATGCAAACTGCCGTGGTCAATTTGTCCAAAAAAATTACTTTAATCGTGGACAAACAAGGCGTGCGACCGCACGTAATTCCCGGGAAGGCTTGATAATAGGTACTAAAAACTCCAGTTCAAAAAAATTTTAAATGATGTCAAAAAAAATGTCACTCCATTATCACTCTTGCTAAATTTTAAAAAGATTGAAAAATAAAAGAAATTTCTCTTGTATACAAGTTAAAAAAATAATTTTTCATGGCAAACCAACAAATTGTTGATCTTAAATCATAATTTAGTTTAACAAAATCTTTTAACACAAATAACATTTATAACAAAATTAACAATTTGTATGTATCAATTATCTGCAGCATAAATGCTGATATCTTATAACAATCAATGCAATGATTTGCAGCATAAATGCTGATATCTTACAACAACCAATGCAATTATTGGCAGCATAAATGCTGATATGATGCTCAGTTATGAGTTATCTTTAATATTACAATCCTTTTACTTACATTTTTTTTTCATTCAATTTACTTACCTTTAAGCTAGATATGAATAAAACTTACAAAATTTATTAAAAAAGTAAATTAAAAAATAAAAATTTGTGTTGTAATTGTAATCAAATGTAGATAAACCTATTTAAATTAAATAAAAAAAGACAAATACAAAAGATAATTCAAAACTACCTCAGATAATGTTTTACTGATAAAGTAAACATCTGGCCGATACATGGCTAATTTATGCTCCTTTAAGAAAACCGGAATTTCTGCTGGAAATATCTAAATCAATACCAAAAAAAAAATATTTTTAACGTAAAAATAAATTTAGTGGCATAAAATACGAAGAATTAGCACAAAGTACAAGAAAGGCTAGAATGTGGGTAGAAAAATTTTCTCTGAAAATGCTAAAGTTAAAAAAGAAAAAACTTTCTCTAATTTTGGAATTATCCAATCAGAACTACGCTCTAAAAATGTTTTAATTTAGAACAATTTATCTTTATTATGCGGATCTTACTCTAATTTAAAGTGAATCATAAGAAATATAAGTGAATAAATATTTTGAATTATAACATTTATAATACTAACATATAAGGATCCACTTAGAGCGCTGAATGACTGTGTCATAACTGTAAAAAAGAGTGCACCATTTACATTTGTAGCTACATCATTGCTTTCATCTGTTGTGTTTTTACCAACTTTGAGAAAAACCAAGCCAGATATCAATCCAATAAACTAAATATAGATTTCTAAATATCAATATCTATGAATTTAACTGTGTTATATATATATATATATATTTTATATATATATATATATATATATATATATATATATATATATATATATATATATATATATATATATTTAGGTGAGCAGTCTGATGTCATACTGAAATATGTCAGTACATGCATTGACTAACAAATAGCCTGGCTTGCAGCTATAATAATGATTAGAAAGTTTTTTTTAATTGTTTTTTTTTTTTTTTTTTTTTTTTAAATAAATTAAAATATATTTTAAAAATATGCACGGAGTGTTGCTACATCGACTATCTTAAAGCCTGACTTACAACGGAGTGCTGCTACATTGACCATCTTATAGCCTGACTAGTAAGGGAGTACTGCTACATCCACTGAGGGTTTGGTTAGAGCTTTGTTTGTTTAGTTTAGTTAAAAAGAAAAATTATTCAACTTTTTAAACTTTTTCTGGTCTGGTTTATTAGCGATTTCTTCAAAACTACAGTTTATGGGAAAAACCTTTTGACTACCATGCAAGACAATATATACATATATATATATATATATATATATATATATATATATATATATACATATACATACATACACATATATATATATATATATATATATATATATATATATATATATATATATATATATATATATATATATATATATAAACAGTGACGCTCAAAAGTCAGTTGATATTTAAAAAAAGTGAATATTTAGGCATTATTTTATGAATGAGAAGGTATTTATGAGTAGAAAGTATTTAGTTTAATAGAAAACAAAAAGAATGTTTGAAATAAAAATAGAACACCAGTCGTTTAATGTATGAACGATAAAAAATTAGCTAAAACGCAAAAGGTGCTGCTCAAAAGTTTGTTGATAGCGACAAGAACACAAATTTAAACAAAATAGTTTTGTTATTTTGGTACAAACGTAATCCATTTAATATTTTGTTGGTCTACCTTTAGCATCAATAACTGCTTGCAAGCGTTTCGGTATCAAAAGTACTAATTTCTGAATGAAATTAATGTCAATTTCTTCCCAATGACATTTGATTGTTGTAAACATGTCATTTTTTGACTTTCTTTCGTTTTGAGGAATAGTTCTATCCAAGTATTCTCATATATTTAAATCTGGCGATTGAGCAGGCCAATCGAACTTGAAAATTTCATAATCAGTGAACCAATCTTGACAATCTTTGCTGTATGTTTTGAGGATCTTTGTTGTATGTTCCGGATCATTATCCTCCTGCCAGATAAAATCGTCCTCGATCCTTAATTTTGTCACAGAAGCAAAGACGTTTCGCTGTACAATGTCGAGATAAACTTCTTTGGTCATTTTACCATTGATCAACTCCATAATACCAGGGCAGTTCCATGAAATAGAACCCCACAGCATCACCAACCCACCACCAAACTTGACTGTAGATATCTTATGTTGCATTAAAAGCTCCTAATTCTTTTTTCTGAAAATCGTTCTTCTTCTCTTTGTCAATTGGAGTTCAAACTTGCATTCGTCTGTCCAAATTACAGATTTCCAGACTTTGAGTGGCAACTTTATATGCATTTTACCAAACGCCAGCCTCTTTCATTTATTATTTATAGAGATGAATGGTTTTTTTCGCATAGCTCTACCGTATAATCCAACATCATTGAGACGTCTTCTAAATGTTTGAGGACTAATTGCCAAATTTAATTCGTTTTTAAGTTCTATTGAACTCATGTTTGGCGTTTCAACCGATGTTATAACTATCAGTCTATCATCTCATGCAGTTGTCTTCTTTGGTCGACCTGATCTAATTGAATTTTCTGCTATTTTTTGCTGGTTCATTCGCTTAACAATCATCTTTACATCTTCCGAACTCAATCCAAATACCTTTGCTACTTCTCTCAATGACTTTCCTTCCATTTAAAATGCTTATTTAAGATATTATTTAACTTAATTAAGCCATTATTCTGCTTAATTCATTAACTAACCAGTGATTATATATTAAAAAAACACTTTTCAACAAACTTTTGGATTTAGCCAAATTTATAAATCGTGATATATTAACTTATCTA